CTGTAATCATAGCCTGAGGGCCCTATGGAGCATGCTGTGGCTGAGAAGTCTGCGGAGGTGCACCCTTCCTAAGTTTGGGGCAATCCCTCACCATATGGTGAGTGTCGCGACACTCAAAAAAAGATCTAGGAGGGCGTGGCTGCTGTGGATGGATCGGGCCAGGTCTGCTGGACTGATCGCTAAAAGCACCCCGTGCAGGAGGCACGCTAGATACTGCAGGTGCATAATAAGGCTCCTAGGGCCTAGATGTAGCCGGAACACCACTGGCGGTTGGAAAAGCTGAATGAACGGGGCGACTTACATAGCCCCTACCATGACGTACTGCAGCTGGGCACGGGCACCAGAATAATGGCCAGACTCTCGAGACCTCATGGCCTCTCTCTCCTCCCTTTCCTGAGCAAGCATGCTCTCCACTCTCCTAGCAATACTCACAACCTGCTGATACGAGATATCCATCTCTAACTCCTGGACCATGCTAATCCTGATGCTGGGAGGGAGTCCCTCAATAAACCGATAGATCCTCTCTCGAACCGTAGAAACCAAGACCGGTGCATGTCTAGCCAAGTCACTGAAACGAACTGCATACTTTGAGATAGTCATAGCACCCTGGCGCAACTACTCAAACTCCGTGCGCCATGCGTCTCTAAGGCTCTGAGGGACATATTCTCTCAAAAACATGTCTGAGAACTGAGTCCATGTAAGAGAAGCTGCCTCAGTCGAACTGCCCAACTCATAAGCACGCCACTACTGATAGGCTTCTTCTCGAAGTTGAAATGCAGTGAAAGAAACCCCACTCGACTCTGCTATGCCCATAGTACAGAGGATATGGTGGCACTCCTCCAGAAAACCCTAAGAATCCTCTGTCGCTAAACAATTGAAGGTAGGAGGGTGGTACTTCTGGTACCTCTCAAGCCTACGTTTCTCCTCCTCTAAAATTGTTGCCCTACCCTCGGGCTGAACTGGGGCTGTAGGTGGCGCTGGTATAACCTCTAGAATCTGATCAACCTGAACCCACTACTCTGGGGTGTGGCGGCGAGAGTCTGTGCTTCTCCCCCATCCTGAGATGTGGCTGGAGCAAGGGGAATCAACCCTGCCCCAGCTAGAGTACCAAACATGCTCAGGAACTGTGTAAGAGTCTCCTAAAGAGCTGGTGTAGTAGTAGTAGGCGTCTCTGGTGCCTGTGCTCTGACTGGAGCTACTGGTGGCTCCTCTGTAGCAGCTCGCTCGGGTGCTTTGGTTGCACCACGTGGGCGTCCTCGGTCTCTAACCTGGCCTCAGCCTCTGGCGGCTCTAGCAGGGGGCGCGGGTGCCTAGTCATCTCCGGCTGCTCGTGTCCTTACCATCTGTGAGAGAATAGAAGACAAAAGTTTAGAATTTCGAAGTCAACAATTTTTGCACGTCAAGGAATCAAAAGAAGTGAAATTTTCCTAACAGTTCCATAGCCTCCCGAAGATAAGTACAGACGTCTTCGTACCGATCCACGTGACTCTAATAAATCGGCTTGTGACTCATGACACCTTTGAGCCTAGAGCTCTGATACCAACTTGTCACGACCCAAATTCTCCCTCCGTGAACCGTCGTGACGGCACCTAGTCTCTACTACTAGGTAAGCCTAACATTGCGGAAATGAATGAAAACATAAAAGTTAACAACAAACAGTAACAAATAATTTGAATAAGCGTTGAGATGCCGCTCGGCATATACAATATTCAACTCTCGCAATATACACAACTCTCCCAAGACCCGGAACACCATAAGTCACAAGCTTCCAAGAATTTCTATCTGTTCTATACATCAGTGTCTAAAGAAATAAGGGAAGAATTAACGTAAGGGGATAGAGGGGGACTCCAAGGATTTGCGGGCGGGGCAGATGTACCTTGAAGTCTCAGGAACAGCAACGACTGTGCAACTAAAGCGAGGCTGGTAGGAGGTACCTGGATCTGCACACGAAAACATGTGCAGGAAAGGGCATGAGTACACCACAATGGTACCAGTAAGTGCCAAGCCTAACCTAGGTCGAGTAGTGAAGAGGTGAAGTCAGGGCCGTACTGGTATATATATAATAAAACAAGACAGAATGAAATATCGCAGTAAAATAAAGATCGAAATTTAACAAGAATGAAATCATAGGAAGGTAATAGCTAGTACACAGAGATAACAATAGGGGATCTTCCGAGATACCGTCTCGTAGTCCCAAACGTAAATGTACAGGGGGATCTCCCGGAATACTGTTCCGTAGTCCCAAAGTAAATATGCAAGACAGGAGGATCTCTCGGAATACCGTTCCGTAGTCCCAAAAGTAAATATGCAGGGGGATCTCCCAGAATACTGTTCCGTAGTCCCAAAGTAAATATGCAGGGGGATCTCCTAGAATACCGTTCTGTAGTCGCAAAGTAAATATGCAGGGGGATCTCCCAGAATACCATTCCGTAGTCCCAAAGTAAATATGCAGGGGGATCTCCCAGAATATCGTTCCGTAGTTCCAAAAGTAAATACACAGCTCAACATTAGAAATAACAGCTACAACACGAAATCCTACAATTTAGACTAAGTACAAGTCAAGGAAGAAGAAGAAAATTCACTAAGCATGCTCCACAGAGTTCAGATAGGCAATGAAAACACGTAGACATGCTTTACTAAACTAAATAGGAGAATTACATATGCTAGTGTAGCTCAAATAAAGTGAAAACATATTATTACTTAGTAAAAAATGGAGTTTTATAACACATAGCCCATCTATGCACTCGTCACTTCACGTACACGGCGCTCACATATCAAAGCAGTACCAAATCCTAAGGGTAGTTCCCCCACACAAGGTTAAGCAAGCCACTTACCTCGAACCAAGCTCAAATCAATCTGTAACAATGCTCTTTCCACAAATATCCGACTCCGAATGACCCAAATCTAGCCAAAATCAATTTCATATCATAAATATAACTACAAGAAACTAATTTAGCTAATGAAAGCAAAGCTAAAGCAAGAAATTGGAAAATCTCCCTAAAAAGTCTCCCCAGGCCCACGTCTCGGAGTCGGGTAAAAGTCACAAAATACGAACATTCATTCATTCACGAGTCTAACCATACAAGAATTAGTCGAATCCGACCTCAAATCGCCTTTCAAAACACTAAATTTTAGTCTATGAAGTTTCTACCTCTTTTCCCCAAATTTCCAACTCAAATCCCTAATTAGAAGATAAAAATAGCTATAGATTCATGAAATATAGCCAATCCGAGTTAGAATCATTTACCTCAACAATCTTCTCGAAAAAATTGCCTCACACCGAGCTCTCAAATTTTGCACACAAGTCATATTCCACATTACGGACCTACTCCTACTTCTGGAATCGGAATCCGACCTCGATATCAAAAAGTCCACTACCGGCCCAAATCTCCAAAAGTTCGACTTGCCATTTCAAGCCTAAATCAGTTACAGACCTCCAAAATACAATCCAGATATGCCCCTAAGTCCATAATCACCCAACAGAGCTAACGAAATCGACGGAACTCTATTCCCGAGTCGTCTTTACACAGTTCCTACTACGGTCCAAATCCTAAGACTTAAGCTTCTGTTTAGGGACTAAGTATCCCAAAACACTCAAAAACCCAAAACGAAACCTCCCGGCAAGTCATATAAGCAGAAAAAGATACGGGGGAAACAGTTAATAAGGGATCAAGGCTATAACTCTCAAAACGACCGGCCGGGTCGTTACACGTATAGTTTGGGTCATCGGTTTATTTCATTAGTATGTAAGTTTGAGTTTTAAGTTCTTTGCATATAAGAACTATAGCTATTTCATGACATGTCTTTTCAGTTTCGTGTATCACTCTTTGAGTAATTGGATATTGTAGTGTCTTAACTACATATTTAATATAGAGTTAATTAATGCAAAGGTGATAAATGAATTAGTTTAGAAGGATGAGAAACGTATATGTGCATTAGCATTCAACCCGTTTTTGATGTACTTGATCAGGAATTCAGGATATGGAGATTGGCTTCCGTTTGCAACTTGCCAATCACAAATACATACCCTTTTTTTTTTTTTATAGAAGAAAACTAGAACTCGACTAGGCGGTGATAATGCAAACAGAATTAAAGACATTCGTACTAATAACGTGTTAAAAATGAGAGTAAAATAGAGCAATATAGTAATAGAGACAAAATACATAGGAGGAGAATGTACAAGTTATCTTATTCAAACGTATTTCTTGTGTATCTTCCAAAGGAGAATAACATACTATTTATAGGTTACAAAATCTCCTTCTTAATTTGCATGTATTAAGATGAAAATAGAATAACACTCAGCAACGAAAAACTATCTATTCACCCCTGCACTATTTATCAACCAGGTAAAATACAAATTTTACTCTAAAAAACTTCACACTTAACCTGTTTGGTCAAACTTTTAAAATTAATTTATTAAAAAAATATTTTTTCTCTAAAGTACTTTTCAGAATACTTTTGGTAAAAAGCAATTTGTATTTAACTAATCAAATTGAAAAATATTTTTGAGTAAGCAATTAGTATTTGACCAAATTTTTAAAATAGTTCTAAATGTATTTTCTCAAAAGTTTTTTTGAAAAATGTAAAGCTATTTTTTTCAGCTTCCCAAAACAGCTTCCGCTTCTACTGAAAAATACTTTTTCCCCTTCTAAAAGCTTGGCCAAACATTTTAACTTTGAAAAAAAAAAAACTTTTGAAAAAATTGGCCAAGCAGGCTATAAGAATTGTATGCAATGAACACTAAACAGGGTAAATGATATTTATAGAATCAAGTCGCCGAAAATATAGTCATAAGTAGTTGACGATAATAACTATTTATCGGTATCCTAAAAAGGGGTAAATACTTACTATAAGGAGAGTAATTATAGTGTAATTTCTTTTTACCACGAGGGTCAATTGTACACGATCTTATCCTGCAAGAGACTATTTCCACGGTTCGAACCCGTGCTATATTTCCATTTCAATACTGATGCACAAAAATCTAAGTGGATAGTCATGGATTCAAGAAAAACAACAACACTATAATAGAGTATTAAATTGGATGATCCAATTTCACATTTCGAATAATGTACACCTCCATTACTCTATAACAATTGGCAAAACAAGCCATTTATGAGTTCCCACCAATAACAACATCTACAATTGTATGTATCTTTGTTCCAATATCTATATTCACTTGCAGAACTTATTTTTTTGCAAGAAGCATCTTAGCTGGAGCTCTTATGATGCTTAGCTCCATTCCCTGGTGTCAGATTATCTGGAGCCGCTCTCTTGAGTCTCGACTGCAAATACAATCATAAGCAGTGCAAATTCATTACAACATTCATTAGAAATTTGGCTGAATGCTGAGAAAAGAATGAATACTAACCTTCTCTTCAGCACGCTGCTCCAAGTGCCGAACAAGTATATCTTTGGTGTCTGAGCAAATAACTGAAAATTCAAGACACGGAACAATAAGAAGTCTTCAGTGAGAAATGTCTTGAATAGTTGCACATATGACTTTTACCAGTCCTTCGTTCAAGTGTTCGACTTTTTGCATGAAAAGGTACTCTTTCAGATGATTAGAACACACAAATTTTATGCCCCAGAAGTTCTCTCCCACGAATTGAGATTTAATGGAAGAAAAGAAAAGGATTAAATATTAAACATTATCAAACAAACTACCAATAAGCACATTATGCAAAACATCATGTTTATAGAACATCGGAGAAAGTTTTTTACAGATGTGAAGTCCATTACTCCTATTATTTTCCTTCTAAGGGACTTTTGACATGCACATCTAATATAAGATACATCTTTGAAGCTAAACTCCTTCCCGGGAGAGAATTTTATAAAGGACTTCGTCGAGCAACTTGAACTAGAATCTCCCATCTATAGATTAGAAACAGAACCCATTTTGAACGGACACTGATAAATTAGAACAGACTTTGTTGAGCTACTTTGCCCTCTCGGGATAGGGGCAAGGTCTGCGTACACACTACCCTCCCCAGACCCCACTTTGTGGGATTTTACTGGGTCGTTGTTGTTGTTGTTGTTGTTTGTTGAGCTACTTGAAGTACAATTATCCATTTATTAAGTGTTTTTTTGCATGCTGTAAAGACATGAGTACTCGGAGAAAGGGCATCAGTGAGAGGAAATTTAAGGTAGAAAGAAAACCCTATTTGGCGACTATTACTCGTAAAGCATTAAACTCACTTGGTCATTCGACTTAACTGGCCTTCACTCTTCAGCGTCGCAACTAAAAATGCATTGCCAAAGGACATCTTAATAAATCCATGCACCGTGGCACTCCACTCATAACCCATGCACTGTAGCATTATACTCATAAGACGTTCTTTCTAAACGGTACCTCAGTGGCATCACTCTTTGATCAGAAAAATAACTCATCAGCCTCACTAGATACCAGGGTGGTAAACTTAAAACTACATTTATGTCTTATGGAGTTTCAACCTTTAATAAGAAGCACCATTTCTCCAACTTTCTTGAAAAATAAAATATCTTATCAAGACAAATCTTAAGACCCCAGGAACCAGACTTTGCTACAAAATTTTCCAACATTTTTAACAATATTTTGTAGTCAAATATCATTTAGTCAGAGTAAGCAGGAGGCATGACCTATACACTTAGATATAACAAGTAGTCAAGTCAATCCATTCATTAGTCACTGGAGTAGGGGGTTAGGTTTTCTAGTCATTCAAAATAATACCAATCCAGAAATATAACAACATAATAACAGATAAAAACAACTAAACGTCAATCCCAGGCTAGGTGTCGGCCATGTAGAAAGTGGATATAATAAATAAAGGAGAATCTTTTTCTTGTCTTACCTTGATTTGGCGGAGGAAGAGTCCGATCATGAGTAGGGCAATAGGTTACTGGTGTCATTTTCTGGAGACAAAGAGAAACATAAAATCAGTAAGGGGCAAAGAAATCCATATTCTGTCTATCAGAAAAACAAAAGAAATAGTAGCAGATGCCTAACAGCTATAAAAATTAAGGAAACTAAGATGACTTTAGCAACAAAAATTCATGCATGGAACACTGACGTAAATGTAAAATTAACTCTTATACGAGACAAGTGAGCTCTATAAACAGGTTTTCTGTTCCTTCGGAGCAGGATATTGATTTCACTTTGCAGTCAAGCCATTCTGAAAAATGAACTTCCAAAGAAGAGAGTCCATCAAGCTGACTCTCACATAAAAACATTAATGTTAATCATCCAACCACAGGACCGCCTGAAGAGCACCTTTTGCATATCATAAGATTACCATGCAATAGTGAACGACTGAACGTATACAGTTTCCCGCAATAGCGACCTAATAAATTCAGCTTCAAAGCAACTCATTAAAGGGAAAGTATCATAATCAACTTTACTCCATGAATTAGGGAAGGAATTCATTATCCAACAGTATTCTCATATTCAGTTTCTCAATTTTGCAATCACGCAACCATTGCAGAGAAAATGAAGGTCAACCAAAGAAATCCAGAATGCCACAATAATCACAGTACTGTTTATCAGTTGATGATAATATCTTGAATCTAGTAATTTGCAGCTCTTCTATATCTATTTAGATAAGCAATAGAGATTAGAATCCTTAAAGTCATTAAAAGGTATGTCACAGAACCTAATTATTCAGCTGTAGAGAACACGTTGAGTTATGGTTAATGTAATGGAAGCATAGTGAATGATGACATAAGATGCAAAGCATGGCACCAACTCCTAAAATTGTCACGGAAGGAAGACAATTAGCTTCCTAGCAGTTCATATATACATTTAAGGGTATTAAATTCTGGTAGAACTTAGTATATTGAAGAGTAAGTAAATAGAGCTGTGCATATATGAGGAAATATTAGGTTGAAGTGTAAGCGGAGTAACGTGCCCACCTGGTCCCTTATAGGAAAGTACATCTATAGGTGCTTGGCTGGTTATCTAATATTGGTAATGAATTAGCATGGGAAAGACGGCGAAGATGGGTTTCGACATTTTCCATGCGGTCCTCTAGTTGAAACATTCTGGCCAAGATTTCAAAAACTCAATTTTGGTAAAATTTGTGTATTACAAGGGCTAGGTGGAACAGAAGTACAAAAAACCTAGATAGAGAAAGAGACAAGCTACGTCGTGCATGAACACAAAACAAGAAACTATGTTCAGGGTACTCGACCGAGGAACAAAAGGCAAAATAGAGAAAGAGACAATTTTATATCCAGATAAATATAAACTTTTGTTGCGCTAAGCAGCATCATAGGGCGAAACAAGAGTAATATGAATGAATAGCTGGCTGCTACAGCCTTGGATTATTTTCAGGAGATAAAAGGAAATATAGGAAACGAGTACAAGAAAAAAGAGGTAGCATGAATAAAGAGAAAGCGACAAGGAGGAAAACAGCAGAGTGGAGGAAGAAGATAGAATCAGCCTAAAACTACAGTAGACACATCTCTGGTGTTTGAATCTTCAAATCTGATTCGAGGCTTAGGAAATAAGAGGACCTTTAATTTGGAGAAACCTCTTATTCTTAGCCATAGGATTTCGTCCACCCCCCCCCCCCCCCAACCCCACGCTAAACGTCACCATAATAGATAGTCATATCAAGATAATTATAAAGTTTCTAAAACAGGCCTTGTATAACATGAACATCCAAAAAAACTTGTTACAGGATTATGCAATTCTACGTAGGTTATATCACACAGGAAAAAGGATGATGAGGCTTCTATTTATTCTTCTTCATTCGTTTTTTCTTATCAGAGTACAATCTTTTTTCTCCAAAAGAAAAAAAGAGGAGAAATACAATCTTCCCTTACTAACTCGCCTTCAGAACAAGTTTTTATGTATTCGTAAGGCAAATTCTTTGAACATTCTACTTTTCATCTATAATGTCTTTAAATATTTATCATTTGAGTTTGAAGGAACAAGTGAAATAGCACTACACACTAATTATCACGCCATATTTATCATTTAAGTTTGAAGGAACAAGTGAAATAGCACTACTCACTAACTTTGAACTGTAGGACATGATCATGGAGTTGTGCAAACATCAGAGCAATCAAACAAATAGATCTCTTAAAAATCCAAACAACTGTCACAAAAACCTGGCTGAGAAACAATCAGATGGTAAAAAAAAGATGTTCTTTCTTGAGAAAATTACTTTTAAGAGGCAAAGGCACATTAATAACTTCCTACATTAGCTCCTTGATACTTCAAATAGGTATATTTCACACTTCTAGTGGTATTCGGGCGGCGAAGCCATCTTTTTCTTCGTCGATTACACTTACACTGTGTATATAAGTAAAATATTGATTTTATATATATATATATAGTATAGCATATATTGATCGCCCTTTGTCGGAATCTTTTTTAAAGTCTGAACACCCTTGAGGAAATCTTTGGCTTTGCCACTAGTGGTATTATATTTATGCCAAACAATCTTTAGATAGGCATGAACCTTCCCGGCCTTCATTCAACTGATAGTTTCACAGTCAAACATGGGCCAATGTAAACAAAACTAGAAACTTTTCACCCATGCATATAAAACAACAATGACAGAACTGAAGTTTCAAAGCTGAGCTGCATTCAATTTTCAACTATTACAATAAAATTGTAGTTACACATGCCACATGGCAGATACTGGGTCCACGTGTGTAAACCAAAGAGTAGAGGTTTATGCAAAGCTGAATGTACCATACTTTGAACCTGACATCTGTTAACAACAAACAGCACCCACCTCCATTCTTGTTTTGAAGTGATATGCAAAATGTATATGCACCAAATATTTGTTTAACCAGTAAATTTATTAGAAAAAATGCACCCAAGAAAAAATGATACATCATCATTTATCAGTTACAGTTCAAAGATCATTCTTTTACATATCAAGTATCAAGAAAACCCAAGAGTTTATATGAAAACGAAACGTCTGAGAACCCATTTTCAAACAAAAACAAGAAATCACACCAGGCTCCTCAAGGAAGAGTCGTTTTTTGGCCAGATGACTACCTTACACAGAGACCCTTAACGTAAACTGGTAAAGAATCAAACAAAAGCACATAAATTCATTACACAACCTCAAAAAACATAGCAAATAAACAGAAAATGAGCTTTTTTTGAGTGTGTGTGTGTGTGTGCGTGTGTTTACAGAGCAAACAGAACAAAGGGTTGGAAAAAACATCAACTAAAAACTGGAAAAAGTTAAAAAAAGGAAAGAGGAGTAGATTGATGAAAAGGGTTGTCAGTAAAACAAAGATTGAACTTTTCTTTACACAAAAAAAGAGCAAAAAGTAAAGAACAAAAAAATGGTGCTTACAGAGGAAGTGGAGGAATTAGAAGGTCGGAGCTGGCTAAAATTTTTGGGGTCAAAAGAAGGCCAGCCGTCACCGAGCATTGACTCCATGGATATGAGTAAGGCGAAGAAGATGAAGAAGTTGGAATTATGGAGAGAACAATGCCGGTATGCCAATGGTACAGACACCGGTATTGTAAATTGAAGTTGCGAGGATTATATATATAGTGGTTTTTTGGCACAGTGGTGTTTGACAGAAAAGAAAAAATGTTGCATTTTATGGTGTACACTTGTATACACCTCGCTTTGTACTATGAAGTTAAATTTTCCAAATGTAAATTGGATTTTTAAATTAGTTTTTATATATATTTAATCAATTTTTAACATAAATATAAGGGTTGTGCTGAAGCTACTGGATTTGGCCAAATTCCTAGTTAATCTCCTACCTTAACGCGTGATATCACGTATATATTGAGTTGGTATAAGTATAGTTGTTATTAAATGTTAGTAACCCAGTTCTGAATTTATTTTCTATACATATTTAATATGTTTCTTAATACAAATATAGAGTTTGGATTAGAGTTATTGAGTTCAGTATAACTCGTAGCTAATCTTCTAGCTCTACGTGTGATATCACGTATACATTGAATTGCTATAAACATTGGATGCAAATCGTTTTTTAAATATAAATAAAGACATATAATCCACGAAACACGAATTAAATCACAAATATAAGAAAATTTTGAAAAATTAAAAGATCTAAGAAAACAGATTACATATAATATTACTTAAATTTGATTACTTATGAAAAAATAAAAGGAGATATTTAGGTAGGTCCAACCAATCTAAATAAATGTATAACTCATTAAAATCACTATAATCCACTTGAAGATTCATCAATAGAGAGAAAACAGTCCATAGCGCTATACACCCCCCCCCCCCCCCCCTCATCTCCCAAAGTCAATGTACCCTCTACTTTACTCACCCTTGTTTGACCATCCTCATTCCTCATATTCTGTTGGTCCTTCCTCTTTTGGATTTGTTATAAAAAATGTTTAATTAGTTGAGGTACTAAAAGACATTTACATTATTGTTAGTCAACTTATCTGGATCAACTTCTATGTCCCAAACAATATTAGTTTACCGTATTTAAATTATAAATTAAAGTAAAATATACATATTAAATGTTTATGTGTAATTTTTACGTAAAAAAAAATGTGTTTACCCTTAAAATCGGATTAACTTATAAATGGTTTTAAGGATATGTAATTTCACTTGGCACAAAACGATGAATATAAAAATTAATGATAGAAGTTACAGTAAAATAAAGCAAACCAATGTGATGAACAATTATGGCCCTCGAGGTAATTACCCACGGACCAACTAAACAAGCTATTGAAAGTATGAACAGGACAACAGAGATTGCAAGAGATGAAAATGTGGTATATTGCTTTGATATACTTCAATGTAAGATGATTACAAATGGTTAAGACCCTCTTTATATAGTAGATGAATCCTATTCACGATATAATTCTAATTACAGAAGAAAATCCCATGATTAGCTAAATAACCATCCTTGATTTGATCTGTTCCGAGATTTTTGCCATGATCTTCGACCAATCACGGATATCTCGCCTTTCCGTTATTATGCTATCTTTGTTCTTGCTCGATGTCTATCCCGTTTGATCTCGATCATTACTAGTCTCGATCTCGACAGGTACCTCGAGTCTCGGACTCGGTACCTTATCCTCGTGTCTCAGTCTGATATGCAACGGGGCTGACCCTCGATCCATTCCCCTGGTCTCGGTTAATCAATAAAATCGGGTGGGGCCGATTTTGACCATATACAGATAGTCGCCTCGTTTTTTAGAATGTAATGACAAGAAACGAATTGAGTTTTCGAGTCGGACCTCGGCTTACCATGACGTAAGCATTATGACGCAAGCGACCGAGGTGACTGAAATGTCCCATCAGTTCAATTTCCCAGGCATTTAAGGCGCGTTAGTTGCGGCCACTAGCAACTTTGAACCGTCGCTGTGAAACCCATAAATAGGCCTCTTTTCCACTCTTTCAAACTTTACGTTTAATCTCTTCTGCTCTATCTTCATAGCTCTTTGCATTCTTCAAGTTCTTCATCTGCAAATCTTCAAGTTTTATTGCTAACCTTTTTTTAAAACGCCAGATATCCTTGTTGATACCCAAATTTTCCCCAAAATATTTTAAAAATCGCATATATACCTTCAAAATCATGCATTAATAGCAATTGGTATTTTATCACAATTTTTCTATATTTTTATTAATTTATCCAGCATTTTGGTTTCCAATAAATAATTATAAAATGGCATTACAAATGATTTCAGAAGCATCTTTTGATTTAACTTATTATTTATGGCCTTATTTGAATCAATTATTTCATAATTGGCCAAATTGGCATCTTTTGGATATAATTGCAATAACTTTGCAATTATAGCCCAATAATATGATTTTATACTATTTTTTACCGAAATTTAATCATTTGTATTTTTTTAAAATACTAAGTAATCATTTTTAACTATTTCCATGCATAAAATTCATTTTTTTTTTTACAATTATCAGCTATTTTTATAAATTGTTTTATTTAATTTAATTGGATATTTAACAAATAGCCAATTCCATTTCAATTCTAGCCTAATTGAATCAGATCCCAACCCAATTAAATTAGCCCAAAGACCCGGGCCCAAACCTAAATCCTACCCGACCCAATCCCTGGTCCAATCTGGATTGTTGATAAATTCTAATCAACGGTCCAGATCCCCCCTTTCTATAATTAACCTAAAAGACTAACCCCCCCCCCAAACCCTCATTTCTCTCATTCTCTCATCACTCTCCGCCATCTCACCCTCTCATTCTCTCTCAAGCTCTCTGCTAAACCATGGCTCCTCTCGCCGGCCGTTGGTTCGCCGGTAACCATGGTGGTATCACCACCATCCCCAGCCCCATGGCTCTCTTCCTATGCCGTTTTTTGCTGCCTTGAGGTCCTCAAAGGAACCAGAAGTCGGCTCACTCACCTCCCATGGTTTCTATGTCATTCTCAGGCCGTCCATGACCATCCGAGTAAGATTCTACCATCTCCGGCTAGAACCTATGGTTTCTAGGCCGGAATTTCTCCATCTCTGGGTTCTCTCTCTGAAACCCTGATTTTGACTCTTGATTTCTAAGATCTGTGACAAGATCTAAGTCTATTCGAGTTATCTTTACTGTTTTCTTAAGGATTTCTCCGATTTCTTCTAAAACGACTCTTCGTCTTCAAACTAAGGTTTCTTAACCCCTCTTAAAAACAGCTTCTCATCTGATTTTCAGTATTATTCTATGATTTCTACTATGTTTAAATGTTTATTTTAGTTTTCTCATTTTATCCAAGTTATTATGTTAAAACCCCAAGTTTCTTGGGTTTGGCATGTGATTTTGAGTTCGTTTTGATAATGTGTTCAACTAATTTGTACGTTTCTGTGATTCTGTGATTTTTACCCTATGTTTGCTCGTTAAGGTTCCTGATTATGACTATTCCTGCCTATTATGTGATTTTACCCTAGTTTGTTCATTAATGTTTCTGATTCTTCACTTCTCCTACCTGTATCATGTTTATTCTATCAATTCAGACTATGCTCTACATGAATCCTTAATTTGTATATGATTTTTTGCCCTACCCGGCTTCTTAGAGTTCTGATTTTTGCTTACTATATGCTTGCTCTCATAAGGTTGTGCTAAATCAGTGTTATTTTGTACTTTTGAATCCTTGAGTCTTTGTGATTGATCCTTCACTGATTTCACACGATACTCTCTACTGATTTTTAGCCTTGTAAAATATTTTCTGACCTTAACCTTCAGTCAATCATGCTATTAATTGATTTCTTAAGTATTTTCCTTGATTGACATGTGCTGAACCTAGCCTCTATTACATGTTGTATACTTGTACTATGCTGAAAATATTTCCTTATTCGTTATGCTCAGCCTTATACGACTTCCTTCCTTATTTGTCACGTGTTTATTACCATTTGAAGTTAACTCCTTAATTGAAGGGAGTACTTACCTTGATTTTATGCTGATTGATTCTGAGACCCCATAATTACTGATGAACTCTGATTTTTACCTTATTTGCTACCTGCTTTCAAACTATAAATACCTTGGTCTTTCATTAGCACACACACGAACACATTGGTTCGAAAACTCTCTCTCTCTCTCTCACTCAAAACTCTCTAGCTCTCTTTTGTGATTACTTACTACTGTTCTAAGTTAGCCGGCTGCAAGCCAAGGCTAACTATTGTTCTCTCCTATCCTTCACCTTTTGTTTGTTGTCACTTTACTGGTATGTCCTGATTTCAATTAAAAGTTTCAAAACAACATGTTTCTTTTATTACTTCAATTCCTATTGTTTCTAGTTTGTTTTCACTTATGGTTCTGTTGTTCAACTTGCAACTAATATGTTTACTTTCTTGCTTCATCAGTATGCTCCTGAATGTGTCCCCTCCCTTAGACTCAACATGTTTATGAAATGTTATCCCCTTTTTCTAGTGTACCCAATATGACTCTCCCTTAATAATGTTCTATGCAAAGTAGTTGGTTATCTTTAAGTGACCTGATTCTGTATTAATTCTAAAGTTCCTTAACCCTTTAGCATGCTGCTGATTCTGTACTTAAGTGCTCCTATAACTATGTGTTTACCTATGTGAGCTATGTATCTCCCAAATTCCTTGACCCCCCGTTTGTGGCTGCAGAACCTGCTTTGGTTCTATGATCTTTGGCTGTGTATGAACCTGTTTTTGGGGTGCTATGTTTGGACTGTTGTTTACTACTCCACTTTTTTTTTTTTCAAAACTGGCTCTGTTGGCTTTTGTAATACTATTGCAAACAAGTCCCTTCTCAAATTGTTTCCCTGCTCAAATCTTTTCAAGCACTCTCACATCTACTCTTAGGTTTTAAGTTCTGCCCCTCTAATGTGTGACTGCTTAGGGATCCCTATGAGATCCCTCTGAACTTTGATACATTAGAGCTGGCCCTTCCATACTGCACTTACTCAATTATGACTATGAAATCTGGGTGTGAGCACTGTCTGGGATCCCTTGAGATCCTTAGGGAACTCTGACACACCCGGATTATATGAAAGGCCATGAGGAAATCTGGCATTGGAAATTTTAGAAATCTGGGCCTATTGGTAGGCTCCCTATAGAGTAACTTCTTATTTTTCTTATCTACTTATGT